AAAATAGTTAATTTACTTTAATTAAATATGGCAATGGTAATTTGTTCGTAACCGGTTAACCAGTTAAAAAAAATTATCATTTTAACGGTTAGTTAACTGGTCAAAGAATTTTTAAATGGTACCAATCTCTAATTCGAATCACCTAATTTTGATTCGAATCAGTTCGAGTCGAATTGAATCAAATTCGAACTGTATCCTGATTCGAGTATTAAATATATAATTTGATTCAATTTGATTTGAACTGATTCAACTCAACACGATTCGAACTAGTGATGGTAGCCGAAGTTTTGCTTAGTGGGCCTAAAATTGCCAAAATTAATTGGCCTAAACTTTGACGAAACTAATTTTAATGGGAGTTTTTTAAAATAAAGTAGATTGATTTAGATACTTATTATATGTATTGGACGAACCTACTTTTTTCCAAAACAGTTTTGGCTACGATCACTAAATAATATCCTTTATCAATTAAAAAATTTAAAATATACACAATCTTGGTTTAGCAGATAGTTTGGGTAATTAGAAAAATTTTTTCCAAAAATCAAACCTTATCACAGCGGATATAATAATAATGATAATTAAATTCTTATCATAACGGATTTTTAAAATTTTGCTTCACATATAAAAACATATAAAATTTTCTTCTTATTATTATTATGTGTCCCGTCTATCCGTTGTGACTATATCAAGAAATCCGTTATATTGAAGAATATTATTATTATTTTTATCTACTGACTGTTGTTATAATTAAACTAAAAGTTTTTTATTATAAGGGGAGCGTTATGTAAATAGAATGATTGGCTTGTTGACCAGGTATCACCCCAATACTATCGGTGTTATAATTGGACCTTCTAAAGACAATTTTACTTTAAATGCAAAATATATAGCATCATCATCATCTCGTTATAACATCATCTTAACGGATAAATTCGACTTTTTGTCAGATGTTGATCAATTCATCAATTTAAATCGAATTAAAAATTACAACAATAGCAAAATTTTTATTAATAATTTTTTTTATTTTACTATTATTATTATTTTATTATTATTTTTATTATTTATAACATTATTAATTAATAAAAGCAAAATTATTGTATAAACGATTTTTATAATTTTCATATCCATTTTCTTTTCTTTCAACCAAGTTGACTCATTTAACATATTCCAAAAAATTTTCGTTCCCCTTGTAGGGAATCGCACAGAGAACAACCATATTTTTAATTTATTTACCTAATAAATAATAATTCATAAAGCAACGAAGATATAAAATATTTGATCTAGTAACAATAGTTTTAAAGCAACTTACTATATACCACCATCTTTTGAGAAAGCCCTTGCAACAATTTGATGTAATTAATTAATAGTCATATATATAAACATCAAACACTCATTACTATTCATCTTTATTCTCAATTGAAAAAAAAAAAGAAAAACTAGATACAATATTAATGAACAACATTGACATCTTTGCATATCTCTTCTCCTTTTCCTGGTATCATTCATTATAGTTACTTGCTTGTTTATATTTTTAATTCGCAATTCGCCAGAAACGGGAAAGAAAATACATATTGCGGATCATATTAATATATAACTTTTTATGTCCATTTAACAAACATGGAGAAAATTGATTTGAAAAGAAAAAATTAATGAATGTTTTATACATACTCTTTAATAATAGTATGTTGATAGTAATATATTGATAGTAGTATTAATAGTAATAATACAAAAATAAATCATTATTAATTATTATATAATTTTAATTATAATTAAATATAATAATAATGATGAAATCAATAACAAACTGTTGTATGAAATTGAAACTGTGAAATCGAAATTTATAATTGAAATTTTGGGATGGGTGCTTGGATATGAAATTCTGATTGGCTAATTTGAATTTCACGTACGTGAATTGCAAATTCAAACGACACACTAAAGCAAATATATGATAATTTATAAATTACAAATAATATTAAGTAAAATCAATTTCGCCCATGCTATTATGATGCATGTCGATCCTTTCCGTTTATTATCTATATATCATCTATAAAACTTTTCTATTTATAATAAACTATTTTTTTTTATTTTTACCCAAATGAACGCAACGAGCAGAAGTCTGTAAATGAGGTGATTATTTGGTTATCTAATTCATATCTGACAATTTTTTACAATATGCAGGTAAAAAAAAATTTTTCTTTAAAGCTCAGTTTATTTTCAGTTTTATTAACGAAACTTTTTTTATATTATTATGTGTCTTGTGCATCAGTTGTGACAAGGTTTGACTGTATGTATTATTGGTATTTACATTTAAATTCTATGAATTCTAAGTCAAATTAAAAGAAAAAAATCAAGAATTTCGTAAGGTTAATAAATATGTTGAATCAAAAATAATTCTCCTATAGATTCATTCATTCATTCATATCCTTAGCTTTTTACCACATTATATTCTGCACAGTAACGATTCTACATAACATAACGAGCATGAAGAATCAGTGAATGGTTTATCAATTCCAAGACTAATTACAACAACTACATACACAATCCCACTTCCACCATATAAATTCATCATTCTAATTGTTTTTTATCCGATCCTTTGAGGTCTTGAAGGATGCAAAATTTTCGGGGTGATTATTGTTTTTCTAAACGACACGAAAATGGGACCTTGTTTATAAAAATCAAGAGGGTTCCTTAAATTTTTCTTATAAGGACAAATATACTATTTATTATTTATTTAATAATCCTTTACAAGCTTAAAAATAGAAAATAAAAATATGTCAAATGACAACATCAACTGTCTTCACTGCTTCATCAAGCAAAAAACCCAAGAGAAAGAAGGCTGGAAGCAAAGAGTTATCTGCGATCGAGATGAATGTTTAAAACCTATCAAGCCTCAATTAGTCTATAAATCCTTCACCTCAACAAAAGTGCAAAGTATTTTTATTTCCAAGATTTTTTGACAAAGAGCCAAAATCAAATATTATATAATTAAGGAATAGGAACAAAAGATAAGCATAGATTGGTGAGATTATTCTAATGTCATGCTTGAAGTGAATAAGAAAAGTTTAATATTGTACGTCTTGAAGGAGGCGATGATAAGTAAAGAAGAAAACTGGAAGTTAAAGAAATTGTCAAGGTATCTTTTCTCTCCATCACCAAGGAAGGAATTATTGTCAGCTCTTCATAAGGATTGATTTAATTAGTTAATAGTCTTAACTTGCTTCGTTAAAAGAAAACATCCTTCCACGGGCAACGAAACTTTTGGCCGATTTCCCCAATGTAATCCTTCCTCCAAAGAAGAATAGGAATACACACTACCGCTTAGATGTTATAAAAGAAAATCATCATTCCGATTTTGACATCTTTATTGATGATGACACAGCAATAATACCTCAAAGACTATTTTTTGTAGTAGGAAAATTCAAGGATCTAATGCTTGTTGTGTAATAATCAGTGTCAGTGACTTAAAAAAAATGAAGACTTAGCGGTGGAATATAAGAACCATGCCTCAAAACAAACATATACAAAGAAAGAAGAAAAAGTTGATGATGGTAAGTCTATTTGATTATGATCAGCAGTCATAACTTTAGTATTCAGTATTATAACTATTATTTATTATATTTCTAAAAAATTAAAGAGGAAAAATAGATAATTTGCCTAGTTGCCTTTCACAATCATACTATTATCAGCTTTCATATTTATTTCTTTCAAGGATTTTCACTTTTTATTATATAATCGTTCACCTTCATTTCCCATTTTTCTTGGCAATTTTCATAGGCTAAACACAATGGGGTAGTTTCTCACCTTAAAATAACTTTTAATATGTATATCAACTTATATAATATAGGGATAATCAATCATTTAGAGAATATGGGATATAAGTATAGATGGGCGTCTAAATTGTTTTTGGGGTTGTCTAAAGTCAAAATAGTATTTAGACAAAAATGTCTGTCTAAATTAATACAAATAGTAATGATTTGCTTTAAATACAACTAAAAGTCACGTGTATATACACAAAATCCACAAGTTCAGTAAATTATCCAATAAAAAATTCAATTTCAGCAGACAATTGAGACCATGATTGTCTAAATGTCTAAATTAATTTATATTTTAGACATTGTCTAAATAATTTAGTTTAGA